GAACCTTCTTCTCATTGGTTCAGAACTGTAATTTGGTGGATATTTGGAGATTTAAATACCCTCTGGAAAAACAATATACTTTCTACTCAGAACCCAATGACTCATCCTCGAGATTAGATCAGATATGGACCTCGGCAGAACTAGTACCAAGATCTATACGGGTGGGGATCCAGGCCAAAACGATTTCGGATCATAACCCAGTAAAAATGGAACTGAAAGGGCTGGAAGAAAGATCATACAGATGGAAAATGAAAGATTACTTGTTAGATGATTTAGAGATAGTAGAGAAAGCTCAGAAAAGGTTAAAGGAATACTTCGAGGATAACTTAGGTAATGATACAAAACCAAAGGTGGTGTGGGATGCAGGTAAGGCGGTGATGAGGGGTTTCTTCATTCAACAGAGTGCAATTAAGAATAAAAAGAGAGAAAAAGGGAAAAATGAAATTCTACAGCAAATAATGGACAACGAACAAAAATTAACTAAAAACCCCAAAAATAAGAGAATAAAAGAGAATATTAAAGTTTTACAATCTCAGTTTGCAATGTTGATAAATAGGGAAATAGAATGGAAAGTCAAAAAATTAAGACAGAGAAGCTTCGAATATGCTAATAAATCAGGAAAGTTATTAGCTTGGCAGCTTAAAAAAAGGAAGGAACAGAACACAATAAATAAAATCAAGGTGGAGGGGAAGAGATAAATAATCCTAAGGAAATAAGGAAGGCCTTTTTGGATTTCTACAGAGGACTTTTTAAAAACAGTGAAAGGAATAATCTGAGAAAAATAGAAAGATTTCTAAAATGTAAGAATATAAAAAAGATTTCCACAGTGGAGAAAGGAAAATTGAGTGCCCTAATTGAGGTAGAAGAAATCAAAGAAGCAATAAAGGAATTAAAAAAAGGGAAAGCCCCAGGTCCAGATGGGTTTACTGGTAGCTATTATAAAGAAATGGAGTCAGTCTTGCTGACTCCATTGCAAGAAGTAATGAATAATATCCTTAAAGAAAGAGAAATACCAGAGACATGGAAGGAGGCACTAATCACACTAATCCCCAAACAGGATTCAGATTTACAACAGATTAAAAACTATAGACCGATCTCCCTATTAAACATAGATTACAAGATTTTTGCGGGAATTCTGGCAAGGAGACTAAAAATATATTGGTAGAAAGTATACACAAAGATCAAGCGGGCTTTTTGCCGGGTAGGCAAATGAAGGACAACATAAGAAACATAGTAAATATTATAGAATATTTATCTGACAGGTGTGATAAACAAGGTTTGTTGTTGTTCGTGGATGCAGAGAAAGCATTCGATAACATAATCTGGGATTTCCTGCTGAAACAATTGGAATATATGGAGGTTGGCACTGAATTCTATAACGGGGTAAAGGCAATCTACACGGAACAAAAGGCAAAACTGATAATAAACAATGTGGAGACAGCAGAAATAAGAATAGCAAAAGGAACAAGACAGGGATGTCCACTGTCCCCATTGTTATTTATAATGGTGTTAGAAGTCCTCCTAAATTCAATAAGAGAAAATAAGGGGATAAAAGGAGTAACAGTTGGGCAGAATGAATACAAAATTAAGGCATTCGCAGACGATCTGGTTGTAATAATGGAGGATCCAATAGATTCAATAAAAGAGGTACTCGAAGAATTTGACCAATTCGGAAAAGTGGCTGGCTTCAAATTAAATAAAAGGAAAACAAAAATGATAGTAAAGAATATGAATACAGATAAAACTGAAGAATTACAAAGAGAAACGGAAATAGAGGTGGCCAGAAAGGTGAAATATTTAGGAATATGGGTAACGCCAAAAACATAGACTTATTCAAAAATAATTACGAGACAGTATGGAAAGGAGTTAAGAAAGATATTGAAACATGGGGCAAGCTAAAACTGTCATTTTGGGGCAGAATAGCCACAATCAAGATGTGTGTGCTTCCAAAAGTGTTGTTTTTGTTTCAGAACATTCCTGTAATTAAGGGTATAAAGATATTTAAAGACTGGCAGAGGGTGATCTCAAAATTCGTCTGGCAGGGCAAGAAACCAAGAATAAAATTTAAACTGTTGACAGATGTGAAGGAAAGGGGGGGCTTTGCCCTGCCAGATTTGAAATTGTACTATGAGGCGTCATGCCTATGCTGGGTCAAAACATGGATAAAACTGGAAGATAAGGAAGTGCTAGACCTAGAGGGATTTAACAACAGATTTGGGTGGCACGCCTATCTATGGCATGGGAGGAGAAAAGTACACAGGGGCTTCGAAAATCATATTTTCAGAGGTCCATTGATTGAGGTATGGGAGAGGAACAGAGATATGTTAGAACCTAAAACACCCCATTGGCTATCGCCACTAGAAGTCATGAGCGTTAAAAAGATTAATATGAGGGACAATTGGGCTACCTATGAACAACTGTTAATGAAAGAAGAAGGAAAGTGGAAAATGAAGCCGTACGAACAGGTCAAAGAGAAAGTCTATGATTGGCTGCACTATTTCCAGATAAACGGAATGTTCAGGAAAGATATTAAAGACAAAGGATATGCTGATAAAGATTCTAGATTCCAGATTGAGATATTGAATAACAACTATAAAATTTTGTCTAAAATGTATAATCAGTTATTGGAATGGAATTTAATAGACGAGGAAGTAAAGTCGGTAATGATATATTGGGCTAGAGATATCGGTCATAATATATATTTTGAAGAATGGGAGAAACTTTGGAAAAAACATCTCAAGTTTACAGCTTGCGTGACACTAAAGGAGAATTTAATGAAAATGTTTTACCGATGGTATATGACTCCTGCAAAATTAGCCAAAATGTATGGAACTTGTAATAAATGCTGGAAGTGCAAGGAAAGGGGGGGGACCTTCTACCATATGTGGTGGGAATGCCAAAAGGTTAAAGGGTTCTGGGAGAGTGTATATAACGAAATGAAGAAAATTTTAAGATATACTTTTGTTAAAAAACCCGAGGCTTTTCTGTTGGGATTGGTAGGAAGGGAGATAAAAAGAAAGATCACAAGCTGTTCCAGTATGCAACAACGGCAGCAAGAGTCTTATTAGCTCAAAATTGGAAATCAGAGGGCCTACCGACAATTGAGGAATGGAGAGCAAAACTATTAGATTATGCGGAAATGGATAAGATGACAGGGAAAATTAGATATTTAAAAGACCAGAGGTTCATTAAGGATTGGGAAAGTTTTACGAAATATCTGGAAAATTTAAGTGATGGACAGATAACACTAGTGGGCTTTAAAGGAGCTCTGTAAAAAGAAAAGAGTATTGTCTAAAGAGAAATGGAAGAACTAGAATGATTAATGGCATTTCAAACTAAGAAATGCGAATTTTTATAAAAGATTATTACGGATGATTTGTGGAAAGGTTGAAGGAAGCCATACTTAAAAACCTGTGAAAATGAGAATCGAACTTTTATATTTTGTTTTTGTATTTTGCATTATGCAAATTAATAAAAATTATGCATACAAAAAAGGATGCAATATTCCCCCACCCCACCCCTTTTTCATTTAAAACATTTTCTAAATTACGTTTCGAAATATTCATTTAAGCAACCTTAAATCAATAACTTCTCTTCTTTCCATGGTTCATTGTATATATCTTAAAGGTAAAGGGACCCCTGACCATTAGGTCCAGTGGCGGACGACTCTGGGGTTGCGGTGCTCATCTCGCTTTATTGGCCGAGGGAGCCGGTGTACAGCTTCTGGGTCATGTGGCCAGCATGACTAAGCCGCTTCTGGCGAACCAGAACAGCGCACAGAAACACCGTTTACCTTCCCGCTGGAGTGGTACCTATTTATCTACTTGCACTTTGATGTGCTTTCGAACTGCTAGGTTGGCAGGAGCACGGACTGAGCAACGGGAGCTCACCCCATCGCAGGGATTCGAACCACTGACCTTCTGATCGGCAAGCCCTAGGCTCTGTGGTTTAACCCACAGCACTACCCGTGTCCTTTTACATACCTTACATCTCTACATATTTTACATGAACTAAACCGCTCAGTAATCAATTGCTACATACATCAAATCTTATTTGCACTGTCAAATTTATCTTAATGCTACCAGCGTTTTCAAATGAACACAATTTTCACCCAGATATTCAGTAAACATTTTCCAGTCTTCTTTAAACGTGCATTTTTCTTGTTTTCTTATTCTATATGTTAGATATATTCCATCAGTTTAAGTTAACGTTCTTCTTTGGTTGGGACCTCACTCATTTTCCATTAAAACATCCCCTTTCTAACAAACGTGACACAGGGATTAATTTCCCTGGGCCGTGTGTATAAAGCCAAAATCGCGTATGGTCAAAACAACGCCTTGGAAGTGCCCCTGTGCGATCATCTTTACCTTCCAGAGCCGGCATGCCAAACGGGTCTTAACCCCTCACCACAAATGGGAAAGAGAGCTTTCAAACACTGAGTTTACTTACTGGTCTCTGGGAGGCTCTTGCGAGATCTTGCATGGCCATCCCAAGATCTCATGAGAGCCTCCCAGAGCCCAGTAAGGAAGTCTGAGAGTTTAAATGCTCCTTCCACACTGGGAAGCCCTGCACAAAAAGAGCTTTTAAGCTCTCTGCCTTCCATGTGTTTAATTTGTGCAATGCCAACCGCATACAGTTGAACTTGCATGTGTTCAATGCACATAAGTTGCCTGGAACTCAAAGCTCCCCAAATTCTGCAGCCATATCTTATGGCCAGATGGATCAATTTGCCTTCAAGGAGCTCAGGAGCTCAGCTGTAGTCAAAAAGTATATTAAGGCAGCAGAACTAGTCTCCAATGTCAGCAATTCACTGTCCGTCCTAATAAAATCCGCAACAGTCTTTGCCAATCTTTCCTGCTTCCCGAGCAAAAACAACAACGTTGAGACCCAGTTCTGGGTTAGATATCTTGGAGGTGAGAAGCACCCTCACCCGTTGTCAGCAGTGAAGAACACCAGGGAGTTTTCGGCTACCCCGCCGTCCTGCAGCGCTTGCAAAATGTGCCCCACAGATCCATCAAACTCAAGGAGGGCGTCTCCGAAAGGGCCCCTGGGCGAGCGGCCTGCGTATTCTTGGCTCCCAAATTGGGGGTAATGCGTGTGCTGTGGACGAGTAGAGAGCAAGGCACTTGTCAATGTTCCTAACTTCAGCAGAATAGCTTCACCAGGAAACCTTTGAAGAGCCCTGCTGGTTCCATTGGCCAACGTGGCCCAGCAAGACGCCTCTGGGGAGCTTGCAAGGACGATGCAGGAGGGACTAGCTCTCTCCCCCTTTAGGCATCCTGGCTCATTGCAATTGATAGAGGAGATGCTGTGAAATTAAAACTATGTGTACCGCCATGTTCCACCCCCAGCTTAATTTGTCCAAAAGTTGATCTCTACCATTCCCATTTTCCTGGCTGGGGCTTCTCTGTGGTGGCTCCCTTGTTATATACAATGGTACCTCAAGTTACAAATGCCTCAGGTTACAAATGCTTCAGGTTACAAACTCCACTAACCTGGAAGAGGTACCTCGAGTTGAGAACTTTGCCCCAGGATGAGAACAGAAATCGTGTGCCGGTGGCACAGCGGCAGCAAGAGGCCCCATAAGCAAAAGCACGCCTCTGGCTAAGAACAGTTTTAGGTTAAGAACGGACCTCCGGAACGAATTACCGGTAAGTTCGTAACTAGAGGTACCACTGTATAAGTCTTTCCATCTGGAGATATGCCCCCCCCCATGACTTCTAGGAGACAACTTAAAGAAACACATTTTCTCACAGGCTTTTGAACTGATTATAAGGCTGCTACAGCATTACTAACTGGTTTAATCGCCCTGTTGCAGTGTTTTAATGGTGTTTTAACTTCATTATTTTGTTTTGTTCCCACTAAACACCAGGAAGAACTTTCTGACGACGCAAGTCATACAGTAGCAGAATAGACCATCTACAATAGCAGATGATGGACTTTCCTTCCTTGGAGGGTTTTAAGCAGAGGTCGGACGGCCACCTACCATGTATGTTTTAGTTAAGAGTCCGTCATTGTGTGGGGTTAGGCTAGAGGACCCTCAGAGTCCCTTCCAACCCTTACAATTCTTTGTTAAAGACAGGGGCAGCCCAGCAGTGCTCTTAACTGCCCGCACCTGGTGGTCAGAAACATGCAGCATTTTATATTTATAAAATCATTATTTGGCAGCAGAAGAGCCTTGAGGTTTTGAGAAGGGTCTGGACCATCAGAAATGTGCATACATGTGATTATTTTGCAGGATGCACTTCATCACCCAAGGGTGGGGCTAAGCATGATACGGGGAACTCAGACTATTCTTTTAAAGCACCCAACCCTTTTTCAAAAGCCGCTCAAGACAAGAGACTTGCAGCAGTTCTGCTCTTTGTGAAGAAACACCTGCTGCAGTTATCTCCCACTTGGACTACTGCAATATGCGCTACGTGGGGCTACCTTTGATGGTGACCCAGAAACTACAACTAATCCAGAATGTGGCAGCTGGACTGGTGACTGGGAGTGGCCGCCAAGACCATGTAACACCAGTCCTGAAAGACCTACATTGGCTCCCAGTACGTTTCCGAGCACAATTCAAAGTGCTGGTGCTTTAAAGCCCTAAATGGCCTCGGTCCAGTATACCTGAAGGAGCATCTCCACCCTCATCACTCAGCCTAGACACTGAGGTCCAGCTCCGAGGGCCTTCTGGAGGTCCCCTCCCTGTGAGAAATGAGGTTACAGGGAACCAGGCAGAGGGCCTTCTCAGTGGTGGCGCCCGCCCTGTGGAACAGCCTCCCATCAGGTGTCAAGGAAATAAGCAACTATCTGACTATTACAAGACATCTGAAGGCAGCCCTGTTTAGGGAAGTTTTTAATGTTTGATGTTTTATTGTGCTTTTAATATTCTGTTGGGAGCTGCCCAGAGTGGCTAGGAAAATCCACACAGATGGGCAGGGTATAAGTAATAAATAATAATATTAGCTTCAGAGGGGAGCGGGGTGCATCAAAATCCCCATCAACAAGAGGGGTGGAAGACCATGTGGCTGCTCCCGGATTCGTGGAAGGAAGCGTTCATCACATTAATACCAAAGTCAGAAGCTGAAAAGACACAACTGAAGAACTACCGTCCCATCTCTCTTTTAAATGTGGATTACAAAATATTTGCAGATATTTTGGCAAGTAGATTTAAAAAGTATTAAATGAAGTAATTCATAAGGACCAGGCCGGTTTTCTCCCAGGTAGACATCTGTTTGCTAACACAAGGAACATTATTGACATCTTGGAACTTCTGCAAACAGATATAAATACAAAAGCAGTTTTAATTTTCATAGATGCGGAGAAGGCCTTTGACAATATTTCCTGGAAATTTATGATGGGAAATTTAAAAGAGATGGGAGTGGGACGGGGTTTTGAGAATGGGATTGAGGCGATATATTCAGAACAGAAAGCTAAACTGATAGTTAATAATGTGGTCACAGAAGAGTTCAAAATTGAAAAAGGGACACGACAAGGTTGCCCTATTTCCCCTTTGTTATTTATTTCGGTTCTGGAAGTGCTACTGAACATGATTAGAGGGGATCGGTTGGTGGAAGGAATTCAGGTTGGTCAGAAACAATATAAACTAAAAGCTTTTGCAGATGACCTGGTTTTGACCCTGCAGAAGCCAGAGCCCAGTACGAAAAGAGTATTACAATTGATTAATGATTTTGGTCGGGTGGCGGGATTTAAATTAAACAAACAGAAAACTAAGGTTTTGGGGAAAAATTTGACTGATACAGAGTCAGAACGGTTTCAGAATGAGACGGAACTTAATGTGGTTAAAAAAGTAAAATACCTAGGGGTAAACATAACAGCAAAAAATCTAGGTCTATTTAAGGATAACTATGAAAAATGTTGGACAGAAATTAAGAGAGACTTAGACAGTTGGTCAAAATTGAAACTTTCTTTGTTAGGCCGAATTGCTGCTATTAAGATGAATGTATTGCCAAGGATGTTGTTTTTATTTCAAACACTTCAGGTTTTGGACAAAGCGGAGTGCTTTCAGAAGTGGCAGAGAGATATTTCGAAGTTTGTCTGGCAGGGCAAAAGCCCAGAATCAAGTTTAAGATATTAACTGATGCAAAACAAAGAGGGGCTTTGCCCTGCCGGACTTAAAGTTGTATTATGAAGCCGCAGCGTTCTGCTGGCTAAAAGACTGGCTACTTCTTGAAGACACTGATGTGTTGGATTTGGAAGGGTTTAATAATGTTTTTGGATGGCATGCATATTTATGGTATGACAAAGTTAAAGCAAATAAGGCCTTCAAGAACCATATTGTCAGAAAATCATTGTTTAATGTCTGGACAAAATATAAAGACTTGCTGGAAAATAAAACACCAAGGTGGCTTTCACCTTTGGAAGCTAAGGCCCGAAAAGACCCAATATGGAGGCTAAATGGCCAAAATATTGGGAAATACTAGAAAATGATGGAGATAATTGGAAATTGCAGAGTTTGGAGAAAATGAAAGACAAAGTGCGAGATTGGTTACATTACGCTCAGATTAAAGAAGTTTTTAAAAATGATAAGAAACTAGGGTTCCAGGTGGAGAAATCGAAATTAGAAACAGAATTGTTAGAACCAAAGACTAAGGTACTTTCAAGGATGTATAACTTGCTGTTGGAATGGAATACACAAGATGAAATGGTTAAATCGGCTATGATAAGGTGGGCACAGGACATTGGGTATAATATTATGTTTGAGGACTGGGAAAAGTTGTGGAGTAATGGATTGAAATTTACTGCATGTAACGCTCTGAAAGAAAATGTAATGAAAATGATTTATAGATGGTATATGACCCCAGTTAAACTTGCAAAAATTTACCACCTGTCTGATAATAAGTGTTGGAAATGTAAAGAGTGTGAGGGAACGTTCTTCCACCTCTGGTGGACCTGCCCTAAAGTGAAGGCGTTCTGGGAAATGATTTATAATGAATTGAAAAAGGTATTTAAATATACCTTTACCAAGAAACCAGAGGCTTTCCTTCTGGGTATTGTCAGCCAAGGGGTGGCAAGGAAGGACCAGACACTTTTTATGTATGCAACAACAGCAGCAAGGATACTTCTTGCAAAACATTGGAAAACTCAAGATTTACCCACACTGGAAGAATGGCAGATGCAACTGATAGACTACATGGAACTGGCTGAAATGACCGGCAGAATCCGTGACCTGGGAGAAGAGAGAATCGAGGAGGATTGGAAGAAATTTAAGAACTATCTACAAAAATATTGTGATTTGAGTGAATGCTAAATAAGATGCTAGACTAAATAACTGAGCACCACTTAACTTAGAAGTTTTTAAGAAAATAAGTAAGACTGTGAAAGTTTAACTCTCTATGAGAACTATAAGATTATGAAACATTGAAGAGATATAAGAATTTAAATAAGATGATAAATTGCTGACAAAATGTTATAACGATGAAAGTGGGAGCGGGGGATGTGAGGAAGTCCAAAGAAAATGTGAAACTATGTTAAGACAAATGTTATATTGTTTATTATGTTTATTCTTATTGTAAAACCCAATAAATTGCTTTAAAAAAAATAAAAA